TGGGTGGAACACTACCTTTGTGAGAAGGGTGATGCTGCCAGCATTGTCTCCTCTCCATCCCCCGTATCCATTCCCCAAGTCCCAAGTCCGTCCCATGCATTTCCTACTTCAACCTATCTGCTCTGAGACATGGAAGCCAGCTAGCCAGGGGAGTCTACGGCCATAGCCTGAAGGGAACCCCCCCCCCTTTCCTGGAGAGGGAAAGAGATGGGGGAGGGGGGACAGCAAGCAGTCCTTTCCCCAAGGTAGTCTCCCCCTGCCCCCATCTGGAAGGGATTTGTTCTGCATTCTGCAGCCCAGGGATGATGACTGTGCAGCCCACGTTTAACCCTTGAGTTGCACCCAGGCTGCTGGCAAGTATGTGCCGACAATCTCTATGGTCTGTCCTCATTCTAACCCTGTTCAATTAAATTAGTTGGGGGAGGATCACTAGTAAGACAGGTTGGACCTGACATATTCCCCTACACCACCTCCAGAAGGACAAATTAAGGCAAAAAACCCTGTAGTAAAGGGCAGCCATAAATGCCCTCCCACAAGCATTTTCACATGCCTATCACATTCTGTGCCAGGTACTACAAAAAGAAAGAAAAAGAAAGAAAGAAAGAAAGAAAGAAAGAAAGAAAGAAAGAAAGAAAGAAAGAAAGAAAGAAAGAAAGAAAGAAAGAAAGAAAGAAAGAAAGAAAGAAAGAAAGAAAGAAAGAAAGAACCCTTCCCTTGAAAGTGCTTATATTCTAATAAAGGAAGCCAGTATGTATAGGGGACCAGTGCCCAGGGAGGATCATTTCACAGAAATGTTGAATGGACAACATTTGGGAAGTAGATTGACACCCCACCCCACCCCACCCCCAACAAAGACAGAGTCCATTTGATCAGGGTTTTCAGAACTAGAGATGGGGAGGTGGAGAGGGTGGAAAGGGTAGGAGAAAGAAGGATAGACAGCTGGGGGAAAAACCAAAACATTGAAAAGAGGGGTTGGAGGAAATGGAGAATAGAGATGCTGTAAACACGGCCTAGGCCCACCTGAAATGGTGAGCGGACGTCAGGACCCCATGGCAGAAGTTCGGAGATAAAAGAGTTCAAACCTGAGGGCATGGTCTCTGAGCCAGGTAACCAGGAAGATGGTCTGGAGTGAGGAGGTTAGCATCTGATGCATGGAACTAGCAGTGAGTAGAGAGCCAGCAACTTCATCCTGCCCCCCCCCCCCCCGCTCCAACCCTGACCATCCCTTATAATAAAAGGAAAAAACAAAACCCCAAACTAGCTGAAAGTCACCCAAGTCATGTGCTGTGATCCATCCTCCTCACCCAGAGGCCCCCACAGCTCTATGATGCATTCAGTGCTCTGCACCCAGAGTCCCCCCACCTCTGCTAAGAAGGCTGAGAGAAAGCTGTCCTGTGGTGTTTCCTCCCTCCCTCCCACTGTTCCACCTTCCCATACTTCTGTTCATAGTCTGGCTTACTTCTGGCACAGTAACATTCCACGGCACCCATGTCCCCCAATTTGCTTAACCATTCCCAATCGACAGACATCAACTTGGCCTCCAGCTGCTGACTTACCACTTTCAACTGGGCCATTTGAGTTCCTCCTAAGTGCTGGATGGAAATCACTGGGTCATTGATCTAAAACAGGAATCGTCCTTAGCACTTTAATAAGCAGGAAACTGAGGCCCAGAGAGGGCACATCACTTACCTAAGGGCCCATAAGCCCAGCCCAGGTCCTGATCCAGGCCGAGAAAGGAGGCTGTTCTCATGGCAGAGGGGTGAGGGTTCTAGTCCCCACGCCAAAGAGTTCTCCAGTGAAGCGCAGAAGGGTCACCCTGAATCTTCAGGGATCTCATGGGTAATTCCCCAGGGCAAGCCCCAGCCTTGCTTCACTTGCTTTCAGCTTCACCCACGGTCATCTTCTGGTCTACTATCTCACTGCCAGGACCAGAGACCAAGCCCTCTGGTTTTAACTCTTTCACCTCCTGAACTTTTCTTCCAGACTAAAGCTGTTTTCCTGGGAGAGGAAATGGGGGTGGGAGAGGGGGATGATAATTCGTATCTACTTGGCAATTTGAAGTTTGCAAAGTGATAGATATGTCCATATCTATTGGTACATATACAATATACATACACATGTGTGTTTATACATATCTATGTATTGTTTGTATGTATCTATACACTCAAACATTATAAATGTGTGTGTGTCCTGAATAGAAACCCCAGGATTCTTTCTCTTGCACCCCCATGCCCTGATTCCTCTCCATTTCCTTGCAGCTCTCCCCCCAGCTCCCTACCTCCATCCTAGTGGCCCTGGAGCTGTTGGGAGGGCTAGAGCCCCTCCTCTGGGCCTGTCCCCAGACTCTGGAGCACCTCTGCTGGTTGTACACACACACACACACACACACACACATTCTGATTTCATCCCACTCCCCAGTTCTCCAGGTGACAACTCATGGACCATAGACCATGGACTAGAGCTGGAAGATGTCTTAGAAGCTATGAAGTCCAGCCCCCTAATTCTACAGAGAAGACAACTGAAGCTCAGAAAAGGCCTCGCACAGTTAGGAAGTCGATGAGATGGGATTCTAACTCAGGCTCTCTGATTCCACAATCCATTCATATTATGCACTGCCTTCTGTGTGACCTAGGAGGAAGGGGAATGAGGAAGAAACTTCTCCCCAGGACATCTGTCAGGGGAGTAGGGACTCCATGCCAGGGTCCTGGCACGTTGCAAATGGGAGGTTGCCATTCCAGGCCTGTTGCTGCCGCCTGGCCACTAACCCCGGTTCCACAGGATCAGAGGATTACATTTCTCAAGTAGGAATAGACGTTAGAGGCCGTCGTTTCCAACCCCCTGACCATTTTACAGATGAGGAAACTGAGACCCCAGAAAGGGATGATCTTTGGCAGAAAGAGAAGCGTGTTTGTATGTGTGTTTGGAGAAAGGAGGGGACGGACTGAGAGTAAAGGCCTGAATTCCCCTCCCCCGGACAGCCCAAGCAAATTCTTGCTGTCTTCGTTCCTCGGAGGGCATTGGCCACTAGCGGCTGAGATCCCGCCCCGCCCTCCACGCCCCCCTCCCCCTTCCCCTTGGGCTCCCTCCTTCCCTCCCTCCTCTCTGGCTTGAAAGCCAGAGCTCCGGGTGGCCGTGAGACTGACCGGGACAGACGGACAGACGGACCCGGGAGGGCAGGGCACCGCCGCTGGATCCGGGTGGCCCAACCAGCCAGGGAGGAAGGAGCTTTTAGTATCCCCCGCCCCACCCGTCCCACCCCACCCCCAATCCTGCCTGCATCTGCCTGGAGTGCCCGGGGGGCAGGGCGGCCGAGACTCGCTGGGGAGGGAGAGAAACTGCTGCCACTCCAAAGTTTCTTTTCCTTCTCTGCCGGGGAAAACAAACCAAGAGAAAGCCAGAGAGAGGGACAGAGGTAAACGGGCACATTGCTGCTGGGGCAAGGAAGAGGGGCAGCCGTCTAAGTATGGGTCAAGATGCCCACCTCTGGCAGCCTCCGCAGGGGGTGCGCGGTGAGGCTGGCCAGCACTGAGATAGGCGCTCTGGGAGGAGGCACTCTGCACAAAGCAGGGTTTGTGGGAGTTGCCTGAAAGAGGCAGAAAGCTTTAGGGGAGTTGCTTTGGATTGGGGGATTTGGGGAGCGAGACAGACGTAAGGGAGAAGAGAAAGGGGGAGCCACAGAGGGCTGGGCACAGGGACGAGGCTGGAGCCAGGTCTCCACCACCCCCAGCTCCTCATTCCAGCGTCTCAGACAGGAAAGGGAGTCGCTGCGGGGGGGTTGGGGGTGGGAAGGCAGGGGAGAGGAAAGTGCTGTTGGAAGATTTTCTGCCTGGGACTAGGAGTCGGCGGCGGGCTACACCCCCGCCCCCTCCCCCCCCAGCTTAGACGCCGGCCCTGAAAGCGGGAAGGAAGGCTTGGGGGAGGGCGGGGGTGGGGGGGAACAGACCTGGAGGCTTGCCCTGACCTCCTAGTCCGCCTCTCTCCCTCCAGTCCTGTCGTCTCCCTGCCGACGCCCGGTCCGGGCCAGCCGCCCGCGCTTTCCAAGCCCGAGAATTTGGGGAAAGCCGATGAGGTCATCTTCCATCCAGTCCCCCCCCCCACCTTGGGGAATCTCCTTACTTCTCCAGCCTCCTGAGCCTACCCAACCCCGTAACACAAAGAGGGTCTACTCTCTTGGGGGTCCCCTGACCACTCCCCAGCCAAAAACAGCTGGATCGATGGACCCTTTTCCGAGACAGGCGACGGGACAACGACGTCCTGGGGGAGGGGAGGAGGGGAATGGGGGAAGGGGGAAGGCTTCTTTACTCAAGGTGACAGGAAAAGAGAGAGAGGGTGGGACAGGACGGGACGGAACTGGACGGGAAGGGAAAGGAAAGTCCTTGTGGGCTGCGGAGCCTGAAGGGGAGGGGTTGCGACCCGAGTTGTAGATTGTAGAGTTAATTCCAGATGTTGGTGAGATCCTCGTAACTCCACTTGTAAGGTTAGGTAGGTCCGTGTGCCCTGCACTTGGGGCACCATCGATGCCTGCTTCCATTCTACAGAGTGGGGAGGGGGGTAGGGGGGGGCGGTGTCCTGCGGCAGACCTGGAAAGAAGTCTTAAGCCTTGCGAAGGGGCACGGTGTGTGGTGGCTAGAGATCAGGAGGTGGTATCAGAAGACCTAGGTTCGAGTTCTGGCTCTGACACATACTTGTTTTGTGACCCTTGGGAAAAACACAGAATCTCTGAGCCTCAGTTTCCCCATGTTAAAATGGTGGAGGTTGAAGAATGGAGCGGAAGGAGGAATTATTTTGCACTACCTGTCTCGCTGGGTTTCAGCTGCTGGTTTACATCCAGAAATACGAAAGGGGCGGGGAAGGAAGCCTGGCTCACCCATTACCCTCCTTTACCTCCTAGCCTCCCGGACTCTGGGAGACGCTCTCCGGGACCTCCCCAGACCTCCCTAAGGCTTGCCCATTAGGCTAGTGTGCATGGGGGGGTGGGGGGGAGTGTAGGAGGGAGGGCTATGAATGAGCCCTGGCCTGCCCTAGCTGCCCTCTCCTCGCCCCCCCCCCAGCCCGCCTTCGGAGCCCTAGCGCTCCCTGGCACCCTGGCACCGCGCTCTCGAGCCCTGCCTGGCCAGCACTGGGGGCTGGAACTATCTCCAGGCTGTGACCTCTCTGCCCGCGGCCCAAAGGACACGTGGCGCCCGGGCAGCGGCTTGACCCACACACAGCAGAGGCGGCGCCCAGGGAAAGAAGGTGTGGATACATTGGCCTTGCACTCTGCTGCTGTGTGACGTTGGACAAATCACTCTCCCTCTCTGAACCTCAGTTTTTTCCTCTGTAAACCGCTGGGGTTGCACCAGTGATGCCCAGTGGACCCTTCTAGCTCTCAGTCCTCGGATCCCAAGAGTATTTTGGCCTAAGGCGATCATGGAGACTAGCTGGCACCCCTATGACTCTCCCCCTATAGTGGGTCCGCTGCCCAAGTCTGACTAGCTTGGAGCCCCCCGCTCTGCATAGCTGGCCTCAGCGATGCACAGGCGCCCCCTGCCGGAGGTCTTGAGTTCTAGTTAGGGGGTTAGATCTCAATCCTGGGATTCAAATTTGGAAGACACTTTATGCATTCCCTAGTTCAGGGTTCTGAATTAACCTAAGTCCAGTGAACTTCTTTTAAAGATATTTTCATCATCATATCCTTTGTACCCACCACCACCACTTTTTTTTAAACAAAGGAAAAAACCAATTCAATACAATTCAACAAACATTTACTAAGGGCCTGCTGTGTGCCAGTCACTGTGTTAACTAAGGTTGCAGGAGGTTGTGACTTCCCCAAGATCACACTGCTGCTACTTCTGAATTGAAGGATTACAAAGCACTTGTCCAAATAATAACCCTGTGCAAGGATTATCATGTCCATTTTGCAGATGAGGAAACTGAGGCTCAGAGATTCAGAGTCACACGGCTAGTCACTGACAAATGCAGGATTTGAATCCAAGTGCAGTCCCTTTTCCCTTATACTCTCGACCTCTCAGGGGAGACAACCCTGTAGGCAAACAAGGGAGAATAATAATAATCCCTCTCAGGTGTATACTTAAAGCATTTTCCAATCAGTTATATCATTTGGTCTTCCAGCAGGGCTGATTATCCCCATTTTACAGATGAAGAAATTGGCACCAAGACTTGAGGTGATTTTACTAGAGGTCACTCAGCCAGGAAGTGGCAGAGAGGATTGTGGGAATTCAGAGGAGGCTGGACTGCAGCAGTTGTGAAATGAAGAATTTTGGGGGGCTTCAGCTGAGTAGGGAATGCCCAGGGACAAGATTCCTCCAATGCAGACCGTTGCCTGCTTGGCAATATAAGTCTGAGAGTCACCCGGGTCATTATGATCTCACATTCCAACCCTGTCATTTGACAGATAAGGAAACTGAGGTTCAGGGAGAAGTGACTCAGCCTGGGCTCAAACCTGCCTCAGAAGCCCTGGGTAGGTTCCCCATTGCTGATCCTACATGTCAGAGACAGATTCTGAGACAGGCTCTCTAACCATTGGACTACAAGAACTGAAGAAGAGCTGGGGCTTATCTAGCTAGAGAGGAGGGGAGCTGACCTCTCCCTGCAGGAAACCGACACAGCTGCAGGAGGGCATTTAGGAAGAATCTTAGAAGGTTGCTTGGGACGTTGAGAAATGACTTACCCAAGGTCACACAGTCAGTGTGTCAGAGGCAGGTATTAATAAGCCAACATTCATAAAGCACTTACCATGTGCTGTGCACAGCCCTTTATCATGAGCCTAGGAGGTGTAATTATCTCCATTTTGCACATGGGGAAACTTGAGGTAAACAGATTGAGTGCCCAAGCTCACACAGCTAGTAAGTATCCAAGGTCAAACTCGAACTCGGGACTTCTTGATCCCCGGGCCCATCACTCTATCCACCTCAGCACCTAGCCTTATGTATTCCAACTCCAGAGGCTGAGGGAGAGGGAATGATCGACAGACGTCTGGTTGACTTCAGGGAGATCCGTTATGAAATGGGGGGTCGGAAGCAGTTCAGTTAATAGCTTTGGAGTCAGAGGACCTGGGATTGAATGCTGCCTAGGCCTCCTCTCTTCTGCCTTGGGCAGATCACTGGAGTTCTCTGGGGCTTAGTTGCCTAATCTGTAAAATGAAGGAGTTAGATGATTTCCAGGGTCCCTTCCAACTCTAAATCATATAGTCCACCTGCCCTCTTCCTCAGTTGCCCCATCTATAAAATTGGAGGGGGGGTGGGGATTGGAGATCGCTTCAAACCCTAAATCTATAATCTTGGGATCTTTCAGAAGAACATTTTCTGGTGTTCTGTGTAGAGGAGCTCACCGAGTCCTTAAAACAAGGTGAGGTAGGTGCTCATTTGATATTCTCACTTGATACAAACTGAAGCTCTAAGAGATGAGTGACTTACCCAAGGGCCCCCGGAGCTCTAGACCTGGAAGGAACCTAGGAAAACCAGGGATTTAGCTGGGTCCTCACACTTGGTCAATCCCTGTTCTGAGGCCCCTCGCAGCTCTGACATTCCCTCTTCTCACTGGCTGGGTGACCAGAGGCAAATGGCTTCCTTCTCTGAACCTGTTTCAAGGGAGGGGACCAGCCTTAATGAGTCCTCATCCCCCTTTCTAGCTTGGTGATTCTAAGCCTTGTCTTTATTTTCTACTCTGTCCTCCTTCAGGTCTCCACCCACTGGAACTGGCCAGGTTGTCCCCAGCCAACCCTCACCCCGGAAGAGGGGAGCTGGCAGATTAGCCTGCTAATCCCCTTGTCCTCCCAGACAGCGGGGGCCGGGGCCTGGACCAGCCAGTCAGACCTGCTCTAGGGACATCCGGGAGAGCTCCATCCCAAGTCCTTCCAAGGCCATGGCTCCCCCATGAGCCACACCCTTCAGGACGGTGCCTATCCCCTAAGAGAAGGCCAAGCAACAGGAAGGGGGTGAGGAGAGGAAAAAGTACCATCCACACAGAGATCGGCCGACCATTCCCTTCCCTCGACGGTCCAGGACAGCCCCTGGCAGGGGAAAATCTGAAGTTGGGGCGCGGCCTTCTAGCCCCTTGACCATCCATCGCCCTCCAAGAAACAGGTCAGCTTGGACATGAGGAGGGTTGAGCAGCCCAAGGCGGCCGGGCCGGCGCTGGGCTGGATGTCTGGCTCCCATAGGAAAAGGAGACCGATGAAGGCCGAGCTGACGGCAGACATGATCAGCCCACCCCTGGGCGACTTCCGCCACACCATGCACGTGGGGCCGAGGCGGGGACGTCTTCGGGGACACCTCCTTCCTCAGCAACCACGGCGGGGCCGGCCGAGGTGGCGGGCGCTCTCCCAGAAGCTTCTTGCTCCGGACCCTGCAGCAGGTCCGGCGGGGCGGGCCTCCTCCCCGGGGCTTCGCCTCCTCGGCCGCCTCCTCCCCCCCGACCCCCCTGCCATCTCCCCCATCATCAAGAACGCCGTGTCCTTGCCCCAGCTCCACCAGGCAGGCTACGACAGCGTGGTGGTGAGCAAGCTGAACTTCCGTGACAGCCCCCGGGGGTCCCCCGATGGGCACCGTGGCTATGGTGAGTGAATTCTTCCCACCCACCCCACCCCCTCTCCCTGTCCCCGGCTGGCTCCCTCCAGTTCCCCCGTCTTGCATTTCACATTATTTCACCTCTGAGGCCCAGCAGCACCTGGCCTACCCGAGGTCTTAATAGATATTCGTTCAATTTAGGGAGGGTAGATGGTGGTGTTGACGAGCCCTGGGTTTGGAGACCCATCAAAGACTCGGGTTCAAGTGCAGGCTCTGCTTTTTCCTAGCTGGTGACCTTGGGTGAGTCACTTCACTTCTGGACCTGGTTTTTCCCCTCGCCAAAACGAGGTTGGACTGGGACGCAGTCTCATCTGTAAAGTCAGGTTGGACTCGATGATGATGATAATGGCTGGCATTTTTCATCTTATTTTAAAGTTTACAAAGTGTGTGAGTCTCCCCGCTCATCCCCCCTTCCCGGGGAGGTAGATACTGCAGGTGTTGTAATCCCCATTTTACAGAGCAGTAAACAGAGGCTCAGGTAACCAGACTTCTGCCCACTGGCGCTGGAGGGGAGATCTGACCCCAGCTCTTCCGGACTGCCAGGAACAGTACCCCGTGCAGGACAGCTCACTGCCCCTCGGGCACCCTTCCGGCCCAGTCTTGCGCTTCCGAGATGTCCCCAGGCCCTTCTAGCTTTAATAGTCCAAAGCTTAAGGGAACTGGTTTCCATCTTTGGGAGAGCGAGCAGGGTACTCGAGTAAGGGGCTTGCCTGGCCTAGAGACAGCCATGGAGCAATGCCGCCACCTTGTGGCAAAAAAAAATCACACGCCCCCAGAAATTAGGCTCATCCCTGCAGAACTGGAAAGTATTTTTAGTCCAATCCCCCCATTTTGCGGATGAGGAAACTGAGACCTAGTGGGGTGAAGCACTCGTCCAACGTCTCACAGGCGCACACAGGTAGTAAGCAGGAGGGGTGGGATTTACACCCAGATTCCCTTGCCTTAGAGCCAGTGGATTTTGCAAAGCACCGGGCAGAGAGACCTTGGGATCTAGGCTGTTGGCCTGACCTAACCAAGCACATCACTCCCTGGTTTCTCCATTGGTCCAGAGTTATTCACAAAGGCTCAGGTGGATTCAATTCAATTCACAGGGGGTAGGGCATGGCCCTGGTGACCTTGAGTTGTATCCCTAGTTCCTCTCACACAGTAGGTGCTTAATAAAGACTTAATGAGTGAATGTTGAATGTGTAGATCATCAGATTGGTCTGTAAGCTGACAGGACCAACACGCTGGTAGGTGGGGTGGTGGATAGAGCGCTGGACCAGGAGTTGGTCAAGTCCTGAGTTCAAATCCAGCCTCCATTTGAAATCCATTTGAACTGAAGAAGACTCATCTTCCTGACTCCAGGCCCAGCACTCTATCCACTTCGCTACCTCGCTGCTTCTGGAGCCATGAAGATGTGAGTTCAAATCAGACTTGGGCACTTAGTAGCCGTGTGACCCTGGGCAAGTCACTTCACTCATTTGCCTCAGTTTCCTCCTCTGTAAAATGAGCTGGAGAAGGAAATGGCGAACAACTGCAGTATCTTGGAAGAGGCCAAGAAAACACCGAACAGAATCACAGAGTCATACAGGACTGAAAACAGCTGAACAATAACCCAAGAAATGGAGATCATAAGAGCATCTCCCTCTCAGGGTTGTTGTGAAGATCAAATGAATATATACGTGTGTGTGTACAGCACTTTTTTTATTTGGCTAGGCAATGGAGTTAAGTGACTCGCCCAGGGTCACACAGCTAGTAAGTGCTATGTGTCCGAGGCTGGATTTGAACTCAGGTCCTCCTGACTCCAGGGCTGGTGCTCTATCCACTGTGCCACCTAGCCGCCCTTGTACAGTGCTTTACAAACCTGAGGGTGCTATATAAATGCCAGTCCATCATCATCACTCCTGACCTGTTCCCTGTACATGTGGGAGGTGGAGGCAGCATGATGCTGGGGGTGGAGAATCAGCCTCTTGAGTCAGGAAGTTTGGGTCCAAGTCCTGATTTTGACTCTTCCTGGCTGTATGACCCTGGTCAAGTCACTTCCCTTAGTGCCCAGGACCCATTTCCTCACTAGGAATCTGATGAAGTCGCTGGTGTGGTTTAAAAGGGGGTGGGTGGGAAGTGATGGACTAGGAGTCATGGGGACCTGAGTTCAAGTCTTGACTTCCCTACTTACCAGAGATGTGGTCTTAGGCGAAGTACTTGACCCCCAAGTCTTAGTTCCTTTATAAAACGTGGCTCTAAGCGGGTGTTCTATCTGCCTCCCTGGGGATGTCAGATGAAATTAAGTACTTCATCTCCGAACTCCGTGCCTTTTCTCTGGCTGTGCCCTGTGCTTAGAACGCTCTCCTTCATCTTCCTCTCCTGGCTTCCTCGTCTTCCTCCCAAGTCTCAGTTAAAGGCCCGCCTTCTGCAAGAGACTCTTCCTGAGGCCCCAGAATGCCGGTCCATTCCCTCTGTGATTATCTTCAGGAAATCTGGTCTAGGACTCGGAGCTCCCTGAGGGCAGGAATTGTCTTTGTCTACACTGCCTGGCACACTGTTCAGTCATTTTTAGTCACGTCCAACTCTTCATGACCTCACTGGACTGGTTTGCCATTTCCTTCTCCAGCTCATTTTACAGATGAGGAGACTGAGGCAGACACGGTGACGTGACTTGCCCAGAGTCACACAGCTACTAAGTGTCTGAGGCTGGATTTGAACTCAGGTCTTCCTGACTCCAGACCCAGGGTGCTATGCACTACGGCGCCATCCAGCTGGCACATAAGGCCCTTGATGTCAGTTGGCTAACTTCTACAGAACTCTGAATTCATTGTTATGGGTGATAATAATAGACCCAAATCTCTAAGCTTTTGAGGTTCACCAAGGGCTTTCTTCCCAGCTATCTTGTGAGGTAGGCAGTATCCCCATTTTAACGGATGGATAGACTGAGGCTTGGAAAGGTCCCAAGTCAAACAGCTAGAAAATAGAAGTTTGGGTTCCTGCCCACACAGTGAGTACATCCTAAATGCTTTTTTATTCATTCAGATCAGGGCCTTCATGTGATTCCTGGTCCAGCCCTGTTCCCATTCTAAGTAGGTATTTCTGCCACCCAGCACAGGCAGGGCACAAAGCCCAGAGACCCCTGCCCTGGGTGCGCTGACCGGCCCTCTGGCCTCGCTGACATCCATCACTGGCTGAACTCCAGCTCTCCTGGCAGGACCGCTAGGACAGGGGGCTTTGCCTATCAATGGAGGCTGAAAAGCCCAAGGGGTTATGATTACTGTTAGACTCTTTATTTACAGGCTCAGCAGAAGTTGGTGTCCAAGGACCTGGGTTCAGGTCCTGCCTGCCTTTGCAGCTTGCTATTCTGTGTGACCTTGGGCAAGTCACCTATAAAATGAGGTCATAGCCTAGAGGTTCTCTGAGCCTTCTGGGACTCAGATTATGTTGACGTTCTTGTCTATCCAAACCACTTCTAGCTTAGAGAGAGCCATAGTCCCCCATGCCATCAAGATTTCAGGTCACATTTATGGGAATCTTGAACAAGGCAGAGAGATCTTAAAATTGAGCTTGGGTTATTAACATTCCAGAATTGAGCAACTGAGTCCCGATCACAGCCCTCCTCCCACTGGGAGTTAAAGAAAGGGACCTTTGGCCCTCTGCCTGCTCAGTGGAGAAAGTTAGGTGCTAGAGAGGCAAGATTATGAGTTAAATTGAGTTATCACCCTTAATCCCTTTAAGGAAAGGACTTCTTTGTTGCTTTGTCCTGACCTGCCTACCTACCGTCTTCCCTAGGGGCTTTTCTTTTTCTTTTTTCTAGGCAACTGGGGTTAAGTGACTTGCCCAGGGTCACACAGCTAGTAAGTGTCACCTAGCTGCCCCCCTAGGGGCTTTTCCATGTCTGGAAAGGGTTTTAGAGAAGAGAACTATTTCTTAATGGGGCAGCTAGGTGGTGAGGTGGATACAGCACTGGGCCTGAAGTCTGGAAGATCTGAGTTCAAATCCAGCCCCAGACACTAACTAGCAGTGTGACCCTGGCCAAGTCATTTCACCCCTATTTGCCTCAGTTCCTCATGTATAAAATGGGTCCACACTGGAGAAGGAAATGGTAGGCCACTCCACTATCTTCATCAAGAAAGCTCCCTGGACAAAGTCGTGGAGGGCCAGACATAGCTCAACAACAAACATGACTTTAGAAACGTGCCTCCACACCTTGTCGTATAGCCTCGCACAAGCCATTTTTCATCCCTGGGCCTTGGTTTCTCAATCGGACCTCTAGGGCCGAGCCCAGGTTCCAGGTCCCCTTGGCCTCTCCAGACGGCCTCAGAATCCTCCCCACTCTGAATCTCTGAGCCATATGGAATAGAAGAGCATTTTTCATGGGCTTGGGGGGTCAGGCACTGTGTTAGGTGCCTGTGATAGGAACAGAAGAATGAGCCGCTGCCTGAGGCCACAGACACGTGGAAGAGGGCTTGGCTTGTGGGTGCCCGGCCGGCCAGCCAGAGGGTGGTGGACGGAGCGGCCAGGACTGGCCCTTGGAGCTCACTCAGAGCCTGTCTCCTCTTGCCCTTCCAGGTCTGGATTCTGGATTCTGTACCATCCCTCGCCTTTTACCCACTGAGAGGCCCCTGGACAAGGACAGCTCCTATCCTTCAGAGTCTGACCTGCCTCGATCGGACTCAGAGACTGATCTGCCTCGCTCTGATTCAGAGCCCAAGCTCCATCGCTCTGACTCCATGCTCTCCTTCCGCCTAGACCTAGGTCCCTCCCTCCTCAGCGAGCTCCTCAGTGCCATGAGCCTGGCGGAGGTGCCTGGGAAAGAGCCAGGCCCAGCCCAGACGGCAGAGCCCCAGCCCCCAGCCCCAGAGCCCCAACCTCAGGGACATTGTCCCAATGGGGTCTCAGTGTCAAAGAGCCCCACTGGGGAGAAGCCAGGGAGCCTCCAGCCGGAGAAGCCGAGAGCAGCCGCCAGTATGAACCCTGCCAGGGGACACTGGGTAGGCAGCTGGGGGCCCAGGCCCCACTATAGCGAGGCCACTGCTCGGCAAGAGCTCGCTGGAGTGTTACCTCAAAGCCGGGCCTCATGGGAGAGCCAGGATGAGGGACTGGGGGTCTCCCCTTGCTGGGCAAGGAGCAGCTCCGAGAAGGAGCCGAGGAGGGTCCCGGTCCCCAGCACAGTTCAGGCAACCGCATTCCAATTTGCCGATGAGGATGATGAGGTGAATATGTGAGTGTAGCCCTGCTGGCCCAGCCCCGGGACCTCCAGTGAAGTCCCCCCTCCCACCCCATCTTGGAGGGCAGAGGATTTGGCGTGGAGGGGAGTGATCCACTTCACCTAATAGGACAAGCGGCAAAGCCAGGAGCTGGAAGGAAGTGGAGGGCAGGTGAAGGGACAAGAAAGGAACTGGCATTGCTTCAAATCCCACCCCCCCCCGGCCCTGTCCCACCAGCTCATCTTCCCCAGGCCAAACCAGAGTCTGTGGAGTTGGGGGAGACTTGGCAGGAATCCCCCTCCTTGGCCATTCCATTCCCACCCACCCCCCTACACACATATCCTTCAAAGGGTGGTCAGGGGGGCAGGGCAGGCTTGCCCCCACACCATCCTCTTCCTGGTCAGATGAGGCTTCTAGGGCTAGGGAGGTGGGTTCTCACAGAGGGACAGCTGAGGGCAATTTGTTCTGGGGAACAGTCAGCCCAGAGGGCCTGAGAGCCTGCTCTGACCCCACCTCCAGCCTTGGGCACCAGATGCCCAGCTTCCCCCCAATGCCACACCCACAGCCTAGCTGGGGCCATACAGTGGAGCCTTTGTGACTAGGGGAGAGGAGGGAGGGGGGGACAGCACAGGAGCCCATTGTCCTCACCACCACACTTTGTTGGCCAACCCGCAGGGGGTCCATTCCAGGCTGTGAGGAGGGGGCTTTCCTTACCTCAGGGGTGCCTCCTGCCTCCCATTAGGGCTCCCTGCTGGGGACTGGAATGTGGCTCCCTAGCCCTTGCCCCTGACCCTGGGATGAGGGACCCTCTTCTGCTCCCCCCCTCACCCCCACCCACTCCCATCTCTTCCAAACTGTTTTAAAAGCCATAACCAAAGGTCACCATGACCTCAACCAGGAGGAATGCCTCGCCTTGGCCTTCTGGCCATCCAGAGATCTCTCTGTCCAGCCTGATTAAAAGAGGAGGGTTTGGTTTTTTGTTTGATTTTTTTTTTATATACAGACTCATTCCTCCAGATGATGCAGAGAAACTGTCTCTCTTCTTGTCTGTCTCCCTCACCACCAGCTACCCTAGTGCCTGGACAGCCCAGCTCCCTCCCAGAGAATGGTGGGACATCCATTCTTCACTTCTACCTGTGGGGTAGATGTCATGGGCTGAGGGGCCTCCCCAGCTGTAGGCATTGGGGGCAGAGGGGAACAGATCGGTAATGAATAACAAGACTGGAATGTCCTGGCTGATAAAGGTGCAGGTGCGTGCCTGTGTGCAGGAGATGGGGGAACGAGCCTTATCTCCCTTTCCGGGAACGTGGGGCTTAGACCCTCCCCTGCCTGCCCCCAGGTGCCTGGCACAGGGTGCTGCCAGAAACAACAGAGGCTCACATTGCTGGAGAACTCCAAGGCTTACAAAACACAACAGCCCTGGGAGGAAGAGTCCTTTTCACAAAGTAGGAAACTGAGGCCCTGAAAGGTGAAGGAGTGATTCACTCGAGGACATCCCCCAACCAGAAATGGGTCTCACGCGATTTCCCCACTTTCCTCCTGGCCCCTTAATCAGGGCAACGGGGGCCTCAGAGGCAAGAATCTGGTTCTCGTCCTGGCTCCAGACTTCATCCTTCTGGCCACTTGTACTCTTGAAGAGAGTTCTAGATGAATTCTAAGGGTCCTACTAGACCTGCCCACCTTCTAAGATCTCTAAGCTTTGTCATTCTAGGTAGAATTCCGAGGCCTCTCCCAGCCCTGACATCCCCTGTTCTAAGGCCTCTCTCAGTGCCCATTACTGGCTGTCATAGTGCAGGATGGAAGAGATGGAAGAAAGAAGTCCAAACACCCACCACCCATAGTAAGGGCTGGGAAAAGCAGATTACTAGGAAACACCAAAGCCTGGGTGGTGAGAAAGAAGAAACCTTTATTGGGGTTAAGAAGGGGGGGAGCTGCTCAGGCCCGCCACCCTCTGTCCTCACTCCACCTTGAAGGAGGTGAGGCTGATTCCACCCTTCACGCAGCAGTAGGGGAGGTGGCCTTGCCCCCTCCGGTTGGGGAATTTCACTTGGTGACCGTCAGGAAGCTTCACCTGGAATTCATCTTCCTCAAAGGTCACAGTCAGCTGTGGAGGGGGGAGAAGGGAAAGAAAGCCGGGGGTTATCCAAGAATCCCAATCAAGCAAAGACCATAGGTGAATCCTGAGTCTAGGGCTGGAAGGAGGCCATCTGAGTCCAGTCCATTTGTTCACAGATGAGGAAACTGGGGCCGAGTGAAGTGTGATTTGTGCAAGGACCCACAGAGAGACTTCGGTCAGAACCGTTGTCTCCACCACATCACTCTCTGCGCCTGTTAGGACTGGCAGGTAGAGGGGGAGCCTGGGAGATAAGATAGCTATTTCCTCCTAAATAACAGAGAAGACTCATCTCCCCGAGTTCCAATCTGGCCTCAGACACTTACTAGCTGTGTAACAAAGTCACTTCACTCTGTTTGCCTCAGTTTCCATCTGTAAAATGAGCTGGAGAAGGAAATGGCAAACCACTCCAGTATTTTGCCAAGAAAACCCCAAATGGAGTCATTTGGACCTGGGCACAGACATCAGCTCTGCCCTGACTGGCTGTGTGACCTCAGGGAGGTACCTTTCCCTCTCTGGGTCTCTTTTTTTTTTAAAGTCTTTAGGCAATTGGGGTTAAGTGACTTGCCTAGCATTACACAGCTAGTAAGTGTCAAGTGTCTGGTCTGAACCCAGATTGGAACTCAGGCCCTCCTGACTTCAGGGCCAATGCTCTATCCACTGTGCCACCTCGCTTCCCCCTCCTCTCTCTGCGCCTCAGTTCTCTTACCTGTAAAATAAGGGGAGCCCTTCCAGCTCTGAGGACTAGGCTCCTAATAGCTCAGAACCCTATGGAGCCCTTTAGGGTTATGAAGTAGTCCCCCCTTAATCTACACGGATTGTGCTGGGGGCCGAACCTGCCCTCCTAGAGTGGACCTTCTGTCCAGGGGAACAAAAGGTCCATTCATCTAATCTAATTCCCTCATTTTACTGATAAGGGAATTAACCCAGATAGGGAAGGCCATTTACCTAAGTTCACACAACAAGTAAGTGAGGGAGTGTGGCCTGAGTCACCTAATCTTCATCTTGGATAAGCTTATCAGTATCAGGACTGGTTAGCACTTTTCAAAGTGTCTAAATAGATGTTCACATGATTTATTTGGCCCTCACCTGGAACCCTATTACAGAGCTATCATGGACATTATCCTCCCCTTTCACAAAGGAGAAAATGATGCCAAAGTGAAATACCCAAGGTCATCCAGCCAGTATCTGGTGGGATTGGAACCCAGGCCTCTCTCCCCCAGGTCCACAGCTCTTAGGGTTAGCCAACCCTGCCTTTCCCACTAGACCCGTAACGCACCTCTACCCCTGTCCCCTATTCTCACCTTTATCTCTGTCCCTGGCTTGAAGCACACGTGACCGTCACGGTGCTCCTTCTCCCAGCTGCCGCCATTTTGGGAGTTGCAGACGATAATGTTCTCCTCAAATCGGGGGTTGAAATGCAGTGCCAGATCTTGAGGACCACTGCCCAGATTAATAGCAAACCTGCCAATGTGGAAGGGCAGGGAGTGAGTGGTCAGTCTGGGCCATGAGAGTAGGATAGGAGAAGAGATTTGTCCTCAAGGTATCCCAGAGGGCAGAAGCTTGAAGGTCTAGTGACAGCAATTTGTTTCACATATTAGGCCCAAGAGAGAGGAAGCAACTCATGGAAAGAGAACTCAATTTACAGAGGAGGAAAGTGAGGCCCAGAGAGGTTAAGTAGCTTTCCTAAAGCTGCACAGAGGTGGGATCTGAACTCAGGTTTTCTGACTCCAAATGTCCCTAGGAAGGCTTGGCACTGACCAGAGGCTTCCTCTGACTCGAGAGAACCAGAAGGTCTTTGGCAGAGGAGGACAATCTGGAGATGTTCACCTTTTACTAAAGACTGAAAATGCAAGCTGTATTAGCTCCTCCATAGCTAATGGAAGGGATGGGGAAAAGTCAAGAGTTTAGGGCGAATCTGGCTGGGGCTGGCATCGCCAACATCGGGAGTCTCCCTATAGAGCCCATGCCAAGAGGCAGAGGCACAGAACGCTGGACCTGCAGGGCCTGCTAGCTGGGTGACCTCAGGCAAGTTCCTTCACTTCTCTGAGCCTCTGTTTCCATATCTCCCAACCTGCCAGGGCTGGCGTCTGGAGAGCATTTCCTAAACCTTAAAGGGACCTGTGATTTCTCTGAGAAAGGAAACTGCAGGTGAAGATGCTCCCTCTACCGAGGCAGACTAGCAGGCCTACAATGTGTAGTCCTGGGAGTCACCTGAGGCACTAAGGGAAGTGAGTTACCTAAGGTCACACAGCCAGTAAATGGTGGGACTTGAACCCAGACTTGAACTGGAATCCCATCAAAGGTGGGACTTGAACCTGGACCTTGGAGGCCAGCTCTGCCTACCATGCCACACTGCCACCTTCAGGGCTCTAGGAATGAGGCCTTCAATATCATTAATTAGCTAGAGTTTCGGTTTTTTCCTTTGGGGAGAGAAAGCAATAAGCTGTGGTAGGAGGATGATTCACCCTGTGTGGCTGTGATGGGAGTGAAGGGCAGAGAAGCCAAGGGTCAGAGGACACTGGGTTAGCCACGATCCCAATCCCACGAGCCTTCAGGAAGGGCCACTGTGCCAGGAGCTGAAGCCAACAAGACTGATGCTAGTGTCTGCCCTCAAGGAGCCCACGCTGTCTCGAGGAAAAAGCCATGCACACACATGTACAAAATACATATCCTCTTCTCAACTTTGGTGTCCTGGCCAGAGGCACCACCCCCAGTCAGGTCCTTAGGTGCATCATGCTGGTGCCATCCTTGGTGCCTCACTGGTGCTCACCCCACATACCCAACGTGTTACCAGAGGTCAATGCTTCCATTTTTACAAATCTCTCCTCTAATGGGGCCCTCGTTCCTTCTACCCCAACTATTGCTCGCCATCTTCCAGCTGGCTTCTCTGCCTCACCTCTCATCTCTCCAATCCATCCTCCACCCAATGGCCAATGTGGTTTTCCTAAAAACAGGGTCAGACTGGACCACCCATCTGCTCAGCCTTCAGTGTTGTTGCTGTTTTTTTAAATTCAATTAATTAATTTTTAGTTTTCAGCATTCACTTTTATAAGATTTTGAGTCCTCAACCTCTCCCTCCAGGATGGCACGCAATCTGAGATGGGCCCCACATGTACAATCATATTAAACACGGTCCATGTCCTTCAACCATGTCCCCAGAGCCAGCAGGATCCTCCTGAGCAGGTCTGATGAGGCAGAGCACAATGGGACCGTCACCTCTCCACGCCGGGAAGCAGCCCAAAGTTTCATTAGCTCCTCCTGTTGTTCAGTCATGTCTGACTCCACGTGCACAGATGTTCAGACACATCATCTTGGGGAACAGCTATACCTCTTCGTTACCTCCCAATCTGTTTCAAGAGTAGCTAGGTGGTGAAGTAGATAGTGCCAGGCCTGGAGTAGGGAAGAAGACCTGACTTCAAATCCAGCCTCAGACACTTACCAGCTATCTGTGTGACCCTGGGCAAGTCACTTTACCCTGTTTGCCTCAGTTGCCTCATTTGTGAAATGAGCTGGAGAAGGAAACGGCAAACTGTTCCAGTTTTTTGCCAAGAAAATCCCAAATGGGGTCATGAAGGGTCAGACATCACTGAAATGACCGAACAGTACCAACAAACAATATTCACAGCATTCTACCAGTTTAGAAAAAAAAAAATTTAAAGGCAGTGAGCTTAGTGTGGCATGCATGACCTATTCCCAGGAAACCCTAACTCTGATCCTAACCCTAATCCTGCTGGCTCTTTGTAATCACCACTTCCCTTTCTAAATGTTTGCCAACCATCTCTTTAATGGTCTCTTCTGGGATTTTCCCAGCTCCCCAGGTCAGGTTCAAGTGGTCTAGAGTTTGCAAACTCTGTTCTCTTCCCTCTTTG